AAGTGTGGAATGCAGATGACTAAGGCATTTTATTTTTATAAGCATATAAGTAACAAACAACTGTTACTTTAGCATATTGATTTTTACAAAACAGAATTTTTTCTGTTGTGGAGTTAGCCACTCCCGTGACTCTTTAGTGCTGTTAACATTCAACTAGTTCGTACAATCACTGATTAAAAATGACTGTACTTCTCAATGATGTTACGCAATAACATCAAGTTCTTTAATAACATCTTATGCTGTTTTTTCCTCTCCTGAGACTCTAACTGAATTTTTACAGTAAATATGAAACTTTATATACTCTACTGTAAGGCTTCTGGGTTACAATTTGAGAATTATATCTATGCAAAGCCAGGCTTACACTTGGCTCTGTAAAATTTCAGTGAAGTACAACTTCTTGTTGCAAACGTAGTTTCCTCTCTTGAACACCTTCCACCTCAAACGTCCCGCTCTCATTTGGCTTCCTTCCGCTCGCGCCCGGGAGCCGCCGGGTTGCAGGAAGTGGTATGTGACTTGCTCACAGGAGAAGCCCTTTGTTGAGGTTGCAGGTTGTAATGTCTCGATTTGGTACTTAAGCAAGGAAGAGGAGTGGGGGCTTTTCTGTGACGCAAATCCCTACATATTATCTGGTTTCTGAACAGAACACAGGCGGGAGCAAAGCCATCTTGTGTCAATTATATGTTTGGGCTAGCTGCATTTCCAGCCCTGTGACCCACCGCCCAGCAGGTGGCTTGGCTGTCTGAGTGCCAGTGGTCATGCTCTGGCCTGTCCCCTGACTCAGAGGAGAGGCACTCGCTTCCTTGGAGGTGTCCCACGGGTGCTGCTGTGCCTGTAGGCATGCCTGCACAAAGGATCACAAGAACAGAGTGGCTGGAAAAGAACAGCCATTCTAGCAAATGTGTGCATCAGTCACGTGTTCACTTATTTTAAAACATCTGCTACTGGTTGAAGTTCATTTGTACACCTTTGGTCTCCTTGTATGCTAGGTCTTTTTCTTTTCTCCTGATTCCAGCAGTCTACTTCCAAAATGAAGAAATCCTGGTGTTTTGAGCAAGTTCTGCAGCTCACTTGTTAACTACAATGCCTTCTTCCCCTCCTCCTGTGTGTTCTGAGTACTCACCTCCTCTTCATATATAAGCCATAGATGGGCTGATCCTCCATCCCACCGCTCAGCAGGCTGGAGTAAAACTAATGTATACAGAGCAATATTTCTCTAATGCTTTACCGATCTTGCTTCTAATGAGTGTGTGAATCCACCGTTTGCAGTTCATATGTATCTATACTGTGGATATCCTGCTTTTTCTAACTTTATGATTAACTCTTAATTTATGTTCAGGGCTGTCAATCTTACCTTGCCCTCCCAACCTTGATGACAGAGCATCAAGATCTTGTACCACCTTAGAGAAGTAGCTGAACACCTGTGCCCTGGGATTTCCATTTTAACTAAAGACAGTGCTAGGTATATGAGAATATTGAGTTCAATTCGTTGCTGTCTGATGTGCTTTCTGAGTCTTGACAGGATGCAAACAAAGTGTTACCATGCTGTCATGTATAATCTTTGGTACAGTTTTTGCTCTTTTATTACAACTGGTCATACACAACTGCTGAAGAGTGAGCAAGCGCTTCTGCAATACAGCTGAAATATGATTTCTGGTAGTTAGTTTTTTTCAGATTGCTTTAGTATAATGCACTGCTTCAGGCACCCTTCATTCTTTCCTCTTAGCTTTCTACCAGCTGATGTCAAAGTAACATGTGAAATATCTATTGAACTGTCAGTATTTTGCCTCTGTTTTTGTTGTTGTTCTTGCTGTTATTTCAAGCTCTGATAATGCAGTGTGCTGGAGGCGATGCGGGTTAATAGGGTGATTACCTCGGCAAGAATGGTATTTTAGTTCTTGTAAAGTGAAGTGTTGTTTGGATATCTTCCCCCTGAATCAAGGCTGTTTGCTCTTTCAGCTGCTTAGGTGGAGATCTAAAAGCTATTATGCTCCACCCTGTCTCACTGTAGTTTACATGGGTGGTCTGAAACAAAAACAAGTGTACAGAATTTAGTGCTTATAAAAAAAAAAGCTGTCTTCAGTACAATAAGGTGATACATAAAGGATGAAGTGTCTCCTGCTCTATTTAAGAGTTTGGGCCAACTAGATAATGGATTCAGCAGTGGGGATTCATTTATAATACAAAAAGAAAGCCTTTTGGGGTAGTAGGTGCCACACTAACCCTGATTTTATTTCTTCTCCCTTTTTGAAAATGAAAGGCAAGGGGAAGGACTGTAGAGGTGAGGGATCAGCTAAGTGAAAGGTAACCACAAGGAGGGATATATCTGAAATATGCTGTGCTGCATGCACTGTAGGTAACTGCTGTGCCCTGAAGATGAAGAGCATTTGATCAATAGTAACAGAACAACCTCATCCTCTTTCATGTTCTAAAAATTACCTGCTCTTTAGCAATCCTGCTAATGTTACAAGAACTTCATTAAACTGGACTCTCAAGGTAACTGACCTAAGTGTCCTGATTGGAGTAGGAAAATCAGGCAAAGTCCAGATCATGACCAGGGTAAACAAAAGTTGTGTGACTTACGGGGAAAAGATGCGCATTTGTTGTTTTGTTTCCTGGCATATCTCAGATTGCTTTTAAGTTTCTGTGAGAGAGGGAGGAGTTACAAGATGCCTTGGAGTCAAAGCAAGATGAACCAGTATACCAACAATTTTAACTTTTGGTTTGGATTACAAGTGAGTTGGAATTATCTTGCCTAACATCTTAGCAGGCAGAGGGGTACTTGCCCATCACAAAAAGCCTCAATTCTATAAATGAGAAGCTGTGCTTGAAGAAAGTCTTCAGACACAGAGAGAAACAAAAGCTGGCTAGTGGAGGAGAAAGCCAGGAATTTTCCTAGCTTCACAGACATCTGAAGAAGAGTTGGTGAGGCAAGCAGAGCGAAAATAAACGTCCTGCATCACCTCTGGTGTTGCAACTCCCTGCTGTTTCTGGTGCAAAGACTGTGTTACAATGAGTAACTTGTGTAAACAACCCGATTTTTGTAAATATCAGCAGGGAAAACTGAAAAAACTATGTTCCAGCCACTCTGACCTGGCTCTGTGACTACTCCTCTGGTTTGCATGGACTCGCAGGCTTCCCCGAGAACCGCCAGACATGCCAATAATACGTGACTGTGCCTTATGCTCTGAGCACCAAAGGAGAATAGGGAATTGCTAACTGAGCTGCTTTGAAACATACGTTTTGAACGCATAATCTTTGTATTTCTGTTGCTGTTACTCATTTAACAGTAGACTGCAAGATCAGTACATAGTGCTTTAATTGGCATGAACTTTGTATATGACTTTGAGGGATTTGCACTGAGATCAGGCGCTATCAATTCCCAGGTATATCGTATTTGCACAGTACGCAGTAGCTATTTTGAAATCTGGGCTGTGCTTCTGCTGAATTCTTTTAACCAGACCTGCAGGTAAGGAGTGTGTGCTGCCTTCCTCTTTCAGAGTCTGAATGCTGGCTCTGCAGAGAATGACCAAGTATGCTTGTATACATATTCACTGGGTGGTCGATCTCAGGGGAAAAAACCGAACAGAAAGACCTTTCTGATATTGTTATTAACCTGAAGGGACGGCACTGCAGTGAAAAAGAATCCCGATTCTTAGTCTGGGTCATTCTTCAGCAAATCTAGACTCCATTCAGACCTGGTTAATCTCTCTTGAAACCTGCTCAGAGCAAGATGTGCAGGCTTGAACTGGTACCTCTTGGTGTCTCTGTTCTTTAAAGGGCGGGGTCTGACTGTCCTAAATCCCTCAAGCGCAGAGGTCCCAAGGCAGTATCTCGCTCTGCTGTGTTGCTATACCCATATTGCTATGCTGTATGCCACACTCCCCCAGCCTCTCTGTTAAAAACAAGGGAACTTCTTCAGCAGTCTTCTCTGAATTTTCTTCCTCAAAAGCATGAAGAGCCTAGCAGTAGAGCTCATGCAGGAGGGTGTCTCAAACTGGGTTGGAGACTTCATTACTAAAGAGATTAGGAACCTGGGAGTCAGACGACTTCTGCAGGTGAAGAGTGATAGGTGTCTGTTAAACACCATCTGACAGATCTATGGCTCACTGGAAAATATACAGCTGTTCTGATCAAATAACATCTCTTACGTCCTTACTTTTAAATGTCAGGATTAGCCAGAAACTTGGATAGGTAGATTATCCAGAACATGAAGGCAAAAATAGGGCTTTCCATGCAAGAACTGAAAATCACCTTTACTTGACCGCGGTTTTAAAGTTATTGTGGTTGGCACCTAGAAAAATCTCTACACTTGTTGCAACAACCTCTGTTTAATCGTGTATCTAACTTAGTATGCAAATATCGCAGGTGTACAATGTCCCTTACAGAGACTCATTAGCATGGTTTCTGGGGCCTTGCCTATAGCTTTGCAGATGCCACAGTCTTGAAATTGTTTGGTGTTCCAGTCTTATTTTGTAAATAGTATTGCTGTACCCAGGAGTGGCTTCTTAATTAGTTCTTATCTGTAGTCATTGGAGTTCAGTGCTTCTTGTTTACAGACACAAGGGACCAAAGGAGAAGAGGAAGGGTCTGCAGATAGTATTGTCTGTTGGGGTGGCTTTAACAGCTATTTTATAGCCAAGTAGTCTGTTAAACACTACTGAAGAAGAGGGTAGGCAGATCTAAGTGATTCAGTACTACTTTACTAGTATTTTCCATATCAGCAATTGTAAAGATTTGTGAAGCTCCTCTGTAGAAGATGGGTTAAACACAAAATCTTGCTATAGATTTAATGAAGATTGTAACTGTCCAAATGGTGCCTTGTTAACCTCTTTTTCATAGTTGCCTGACCTTATGTTTATTCAGATTGGGTAGATCTCATGTGGTTGTAAATATCTAAGTTAGTAGTAGATAAACAAGTAAACTTGTAAAACCAAGTATAAAATGTGAGTAAGTCGGTAAAAATGCTTGTGTATTTCTAACTGTCTCTCTCCTCGCTCAAGTTGCAGGAGTTATTACAGCTGACTTTCTGTCAGGATTATTTCACTGGGGAGCAGATACCTGGGGATCTGTGGAGCTACCCATAGTTGGAAAGGTTTGAGATTCTTATCCTTAAGCTTGAAAAAGTTACGGAATACTTTTCTGAAACACTTCCAGTATTCCCAGCTGTGTTGGACAGCGTATATAAGCTGTATCTTTCTTGCAGTCTTGCCAATGTAACCAGCTCCCCCACCCACACAACCCTCCTCCACTAAATGGCACGGTATATTGCTGGTAAAGTGCCATGTTTACACTTGGCCTAGGTGACATGTGCAAGGTGACACTGTTCCATTTTATCACCTTGTTTAAGGTTTGCACTCAGTTTTGCAATACCAGTGTTCGCAGACGTTCCCAAGGTACTGTGGGAACGGCCTGTGACACCACAAGCGTAGAAACCTGGCTTAGACTAGTGTAGATCTTCCAAAAGGCCAGTAAACAGAGTTGTGGAGGATTGTTCCTGTAGCTAAACTCTCTAAAAGCTGTCTTATAAAACATGAAGATGGTCCAGTAAGAGGTCTTTCCAGTTCTCTGTGCTACTGGCCTCTATTGTAAATGTAGTCGTATTAGAATGATGATGACTGAAGATTTCCATTTGAGATGTATTATACATCTGCAGCTGCAAATGCCAGATGCTTAGTGGAAGGTGCACTGACTTCTATAATAAGCAATAATCTGGTTATTAAAATAAACTTCTTCATAGCTACCATTAATCACTCCTCACAGTGCAATATTAGAAGGATCTCTATTAAAAAAAAAAGTATATGGGATATTCCTTGTAATTATCCAGAAATACGTGAACTAGAACAGCAGAATTAAGATTGTTGGTTTTAAGCTTATTTTTGTTCACCTTCAATAGATTTAGTAGTCCTTGAATCCCTGGATCTCTGGACCATAGTTCAAAAAAACCACTGCAGGAGACTATGCACTAAATAAACAAGAGTTCAGACTGATCAGGACACCTTTGCATAGACTGAACATGATACATGTGTTAAAGGCAAATAAGTATGCTTGTTTTACTGTCCCAGTCCTACCTATCACATTTGCTCTGTCTCCTCTGGGGTTGTGTATTCAGATGTGATTTCTACTCCTAGAGGAGACTTTTGTATAGTCTGTTTGACTTACGTTGGTTTGTCTAGTCATTTAACTTGCATTTAGTCGGTTAATGCTGTCATCTGTAGCCCATACAAAATGTTAGACTGAATTTTCATTTTTTGTATTTTCTTGGTTTATGCTGCTTAGCAAGTGACTTCTATCTGTGAATTTCACAGGCTTATTTTGTCTGTGAAATTAGGATGCTGATGCTTTGTTTTTGAGATCTAGAGACTAAAGGTCCTAAGTGAAAATTAAGAAGAATAAAACTGAAAAGCAATGAAAAACTGGATTTGAGTCCGAGAACTGAATTGCTTTGCAAATGTAAATCAAATTATCTGAAGTGTTGTCATCACAAAAGTTTGAATCCTGCTTACATGCTTTGTACTATGGAACTCTCTTAAACTCAGTCATCAGATTTGAATGCATGCAAGGTTTTTTATATTTTTCTTTCCAAGATCGTTATTGCGCCATGGTGTCATGTTTATCAATTTGTTTTTTCAGGCTTTCATCAGACCCTTTAGAGAACATCATATTGACCCCACAGCAATTACCAGACATGATTTCATAGAGACCAATGGAGACAACTGCTTTATGACACTAGTCCCGTTGGCAAACATGGCATACAAATTTGTTTCTTTTTCCCCAGGTAAGCTGTTACTTCTGACTTATGAGGATTTAGCATTTTTGTTGATATTTAAATGAACGTTTGTCTGTGTGAGGCTAGGAGAAATCATTGAACACGAGATGACAGGTAATAGCTGTTGGAAGCATGATGCTCCTGGGAGGAGGGAGGGAGGCTATTTTTTTTCTTGAAGGTGGAGCAACTAGAAGGTGGGACAGCTAGATTCTCTAGCTCAACAGAGAACCTGTGGCTGAAGACTCTTGCAAGGAAGTTACAGTAAATAGTCTTTTTATAAGAGGGATCAAACTGCATATAGGGAAACTCATTGTTCTAAAGTGTATAAAAACGCTTCATCTCTGTGTAGAAGTACTTTATTTGCAAACTAGAAGTGCAAGAATTAAAGGATTAATTTAATTTTATAGATGGCAAACTCAGAGTTTAACTTCCTGTTTATGGCGAGTCGACAGGCATTGGCACTTACCAGCCTGTCTGGTAGCATTCTGGACTTGCTTATGGCTCACTGGCTCTTGTGACACTTCTGCCAAAGCAGCTTTGTTGAGACCGTTGTTAGTTCCTGCAGCACCAGGCAGCTCCGTCTGGGCAAGACTTCATTTTCCTAGTAGAAATTTAGCTTTTCATAAATGGTACTTAAAGATACACATCTTGTTTTGCAGAGGCGTTATATGAAACATGTCCTTGGGAGTGTTACGTCTTTGCCCTTATCATCTTCATAACCATGACGAACCAGATTCACAAGTGGTCTCACACGTACTTTGGTCTTCCACGCTGGGTCATATTTCTACAGGACTGGCATGTTATCCTGCCACGGAAGCATCACAGGATCCATCATGTGTCTCCACACGAGACGTACTTCTGCATTACAACTGGTACTACCATCTGGTTCATACTGCAAGCTCTCTTTAGTAGTCTAGTGCAATTCACCTGGCAAGATGTAATTTAGTGACAGCCTATTAAATACCTAGAAAATTACGTGATGAAATTAACTGTGCTCTTAGCTGCACAAGCTCGTAGCAAAACTATAGTTGTTTTTGTTGCATAAAAAATGTGGGGGGAAGATTTGCGATTGGCTAAAAGGTAACTTTCAGCCTGACAAGGGTAGCCAGTGGTACTGAGATCTGATTGCATGATTTCTTGGTAGTCTCATGCTAGTAATGGATTTTGTCCATTAAAGTCTTAAAGCTGCTGTTCCTTCAAAAGAGCATATCATCTGCAAGTGCAACTTACCTCAAATGCTCATTTCTAAAGCAAGGCTTCTGGATTTTCAGCATTCATTCATTCTGATTTGGGCAGAGAAGCGGACAGGCTTGCAGGAAACTGGCTTTGAGTTCCTCTTATATCTATATTCAATTTTATGCCCACTGTACAGGTGGGTATACTCAGTCACCAGTGTTGCACAATCCTGAGTAAGTTATTAAGTTAATCAGACAGCTGGAAATAAACCACTCTGGTTCTTCATTCTGTCATTGGCTTTGACAAACAGTTTATGTCCGTTTTGAAATCTCTGCCAAGAAACAAATCTAGTTCTCATGACCAGAATGTTGTGTAAAAACACAGTACAATTAAGAAGCCTGGCTTGACAGATGATTGCAAAAATCTTGCTACCCTAAGAGCTTTTTTCAGTCTTACTATGTCCTGAAAGTTTAAGCCTGATCATTATTAGCAGTTTTGGGCGAGTTGCTTTTTCTCTTGTTAAAAAAAAAAATGCATGCGCTTCTGTTCACTCCATACTTTCTGTAAGAGTTCATACCGTACTAGTCTGACATAACACAGCATGATAGATTGTATACTTGGATTTTCCAATGGAACAAAGTGTTTCTGCAGCCCTAATTCTCTTTCTTCTAGTGTAGAAGTGAGGAGGAGGGTAGAAATATGCAGTCAATGTGCTATTTAAAAGAGGCCTTTACCAAGTAAAATAGGACTAGTTATTGTAATGCACTTGTTAGTAACTTAAGAGTAGACAGTCAAGTACAAAGAGTATACTTGGTTTCAGAGCTGACCTGTGTACGTAAAGGTCCGCCGCTGTGTCATTGCCAGGGAAGGTGTCAGATAACAGAGCTTTCTGGCATTCCCAGCGTTAAAGCTTTCGGACTGACTGCCATTTTTAGACACCAGGAAGGGGTCATCCATTCCTTGAGGGGTGATGGCTGTGTTAATGAGAATTGCATGGGCTGACTTCCTAAAGGGCATCAGTATACAGTGAGTTGAGTGGAGCTGCAGCATCACAGGTGAGCTGGGAAAGGTCATGCCCAGCTGCAGAAGGTGGCTGAAAACGCTGCCTGTTTCGATAGATTGTTAAAGCTGCAGCGTCTGATTAAGAACGATCTAGCTCTCTAGAAATGCGATTATTTTTCAGCAGTGAATATCCTGAATGTTCTCTCCCTTTAGTATTTCTGTCCCCTAATAGCTATACACATAGTCTTGAGGCATCACCAGCAAGAACAGTTGTTTTCCTTCTGCTGGCTGTGTCACCGCTGTAGGGGTGGTACTCGGACCTGGCAGAGCTGGCTCTACAGCAGCTTTTCTGTGTTCAGTCTTGCTCGTGTGTGTTAGCTCTTTTCTCTAACACGAACCGCTGCTGCTAGCTCACTGTTTCATTGTGGTAACAACTTCATTCCTGCCTCTCCTTTGGTTTTGTTTTCTTACGCTTTTTTCCCTTTTCCAGAAATGTACATGGAGTAAAGTATAACGTGTGCTTACAGAACAGTTCTGTAAGTGTGGGATAACTAATATAACCCTGTGTACATCCATCTCTTCCTGGTTGTAGGAAAACTTCTACAGGGAAATAACATTTCCCAGTGCTGATTTCTTTTGGTTTTCCTAGTTTTACAATATTTAATAAAACAGAGGCCTAAAGTTACTGTATAGTACGTTGTTGTAATAAAACCCTGTGAAATTGCCTCTTCGTGCACTCTCCTGTCAGTTATATGTAGTTAGGTTGGCATCAAAATACAGTATCAGAAAAGCAAGTTAACGTGCTAATTAATACCCTAAAAGTGAGACATAAAGCCCTTCTGAATTCAGGGTGAGGCCTATTAAGCCTGTGTGAGTTCGGCCTCACAGTCTGTACAGCGCAACGTTTCTGTACAGCCAAATTCAAGACCTGCAAAATACCCTAAATCTGTAGGCTGGGAAAGATGCATTAAACTCCTGTTGCATGCAGAACACGATGGCGCTTATTGCCATTTTTACATAAAATGGTAAAAACCCATCCCATATCAACCTGTTACAGCCTGTCTGGTTACTGGGAAGCAGAAGTGCTCCGTTAGCAGTCGCAGAGCTTTGGGAGTGTGCTGCTAGCGGTGCTGCCCTTTTAATCCAGGAAGTGTCCAACGTCGCTACCGTTAAACGCAGCGTAGTACTACAACAAGATTTCTCCATCACAGGCTTCATTAGCAATCAGTTATGCAAACTTTAATTTTGTCCAGGGAGAGCATAATACACTAAAGTACCTTAAAAATGAAAATTGATGTTGGAACTATCTAAACTTGAGGGTTTATTTAAGAAGAAACTTTGTTTAGTTTGCTGACCCTTAGTTAGTGGTGTTTAGGTCCCAAACAGAAATCTTGATTTATTTTTTTTTTTAGTTATTCCTTTTTTTCTAGAAACTGTGGCATTGATAATGTATTTGAGATTTCAGAGCCATGTTGTGCGTATTTACTTTCTTGCTGTACTACCTAATGAGAAACACAGGGAAAAGCAGGGCTGGCTTTGGTGATGGGGAAGCTGATCGGGGAACAATAGCTGAAATTGTTGAGTTGGGGTTTTTGTTTGGTTGCTTAAATTTCAATACTAAATCTAAGATGCTACTAATAAAAATGTCTTGCTTCCACAAATCATTCAACTTGGTGGTCCCTTTTCTGGCTTTGCAATGGCCATAGAGGAGTCCACCTCTGAACTCCCCTTACATTTACCTTGTGTTTAATTTGAAGAATGTTATTAAATAAACATTGCAAAACATTGAATTTTGGATGCTACGACGAACTAATCCTTTTTTTCGTTTGCAATCACTTAGGTTGGCTGAACTATCCATTAGAGAAGATAAGATTCTGGAGGTGTTTGGAGAACATTATCCAAGGAGTTACTGGGGAGAAGCCAAGAGCAGATGACATGAAATGGGCTCAGAAAATGAAATAACTTTTGCCAGCCTTCTGCAATCCTTAACTTGTTGCCAATGTTGGGTTTTTAAAAAAAAAAAAAAATAAAGCCATCAGCCAAATTCAAGACCTGCAAAGAAGTAACAGACTCTACAGCACAAACTAAAAAGTGCTAACACAGACTGTAATGAAAAGAACTAATTCTTAAAACAATACTTGAAATGAAGATGATTACTCTTACTGAGCACCTTTTTGTTTAGCCATGTCTGCTTACATCTTAGAAAATACTTCATCACTGTATCTCATAAGGCTATCGGGCAAGCCAGAAGGCAGGACAGTCACTCCATTGGTACGTGGTGGCGTAGTAAACATGTGTTGTATCAACATTATTTAACACTTCAAAAATAGCTTGTTGCTTAAGACCTGTAGGGGGAATGGTGACAACAGTTGGTCACTTCATGTTTGAGTCCAAATACACTGCATGAAAACAGTGTGTCAGAGTAATGGAAGCCTATAAAATCATCACTGTTCAATGCACTTAGTGATTGATAAACTTACAGTTCTATCTTTGCTATCATGTTAAATCTAATTGATGTAATGTGCAACAGACTTCGAGAATCCCACTCCACCAGTGGGCCACGAATCCTCAAGTGTCTTCAGTTTCCCTTAAAATAAAATTGTTCTACTGTCTACATGGAATTGAGCAAACCGTTTCTGCGTAAGCCTTCAACTTAACAAGCCTGTGAGGAGAGGGAGGGCATCCAGTACAACACATGCTCACGTCTGTTCATGTGGAGTGCTCACTGATAAGTCTTCTATTAAGTGTTTCCTACCCTGACAATAAATGTTTAAAATAGTTCTAGCATTGGGCATATTGCAAATAGCTGTATTCAAGAGCTCAAGTATCAAACTTGTAATGTTAGAAGGGAAATGTCAATGACTGGTGTTTTGTTCTTTTTTTTTTAAGGTGCTTGCTTGTTTCTGTAAATAATATAAAGCCTTAATCTCTTCTGGTGTAATGGAATAATATTTTAACGTGATGTTTGAATGTATATAATATATTTATAACAAAGCAGTTGGATAATACTAATCATGTTTGTTAAGTCTTGTTGCTGTTCTTCATTCATGCATTGTCAGCACTTAGGCCAAGAACTTGGTAACTGGTTGCAAAATGCTTGATGCTATTCCAGCCACCTGAAACACCTTGCAGCCTGTTAAGTCTGGTTTAGATTGAAGTGATCAGTTGTTTTTCAGCTTTGTAGGAGGTTGACACTATTACACCAGACTTCAACACCTTTCAAGAAATGCAACTAATTCTGCTTTGGAGGCTAAGGAGTAATTCTGCTGGACTGGGAGAGGGAGTTCCCCTAAGAACATCCAACAGGCTCTTTATCAAGTGAATGTGGCTTGGACCTTGTTTAATCCTCTCCTAGATGAAATCTTACTGAGGGTCAAATCTAAAACTATTTTCCCTTCCCTAACTATAAATTGTGTTGAATTCAAACTGTCTTTTCCTGAAGTGTATGGTAAAGGGGTTTTGAGCCATAGGTTTGGATCTCAACTTCTTCAGATATGATGGACCACAACTTCTTAGAGTTGGGACTTGGCAACTCCTTCCATGGAAATGGCTGAATGCAGATGTGTCTGAGCTGAGTTCTACAGATTAAAATTGCAGTTGGTACTTTGGTTACAAAATATCTAACATGTTTAAATGATTCAGACCCTTGGAGAACTTTATACAGTTACATGAAACTATTGTCTACTCCAGCTGTCATAGTCCATATGAGGTCTCCGTGTAGCTTTGACAGTAAAGAATACGTGTACTTCAGTAGGAGTCTCAAAATGCATTTAGTTGAAATGGGAGGAAGAGGGAGGAATACTCCTGTCATGCTGTTATTGTGGAAGACAGGTGTGTGATTTCATGCTATCTTTGGTGAAAAGAGCGGGTTTTCCCCTTTTCCTCCCACCCATGCCATCGAAAGCCTTGGCAAAGAAGGCCATGTATAAGAACACAGAGCACTGGGGGGAGCAGCCAGGAGGTTGCAGGCTTGGTTAGGGAAGATTGTTCCAAGCTGCTATGTTCTTTGTTAATTATTGCCTATTTCTCCCAGATCAGGGTGTTTAAAAGCTTTGATTCTGTGCCAAACCTGTTGGCTCAAAGTTGTTCCTAGAAGTCATTTTATCTCTGCTTGTTTCAATTTCCAGGCACTGATTGTTCAGCTTTGTTAAAAAATTGAGATGTGAATATAAACTTGGGTGGGAAGAAAGGTAACTTCCACTATCGTGGAAGTCAGTGTGGCGATCGCTACTCTGAATCAGTGAAGTTGGATTCCGTTAATATTTGCTATTTGTGGCTGAAACTTACTTTAAATTTCTTCGGCATAACAGGTGTTGAAATGAATACATGCTGAATGCTGGTGAGGTGAGGACGCAAACTACCATGTGTCCAGAGCAAAGAATTTCTCCTTCCTCTTCTCCCCTTCCAGTGTGAGTGTCCTGCAGTTGTAGAGGTGTAGGAATGCTTAGGGAACAGCATCTATTCCTGGGAGTACAAAGAACTGCAGTAGTTTTTTCTGCCGTCTTGACAAAAGTTTAAATTCATGCCTGCTTCTACCTTGAGACTCCCATAATCCATATTCTAACGGATTTGTAGTCCTTGGTTGTCTGTCCCTCCTGCACTCGTCCCTTTCTTCCTCCTTCCCTCACCCTCGACCCCAGTTTGAGTTAAGTAAACCAGTGTCAAAGCCCAGTACAGAACTGGGTGGATGCTCAGGACTCCTGTGTAAAACAGCCTTCAGCACTAAGTCCTTTTAGAGCTCATCTCTTCCTGCAAATTTAAATGCCAAGTGAACAGCAGTGGTGCAGTGTATATAACAAATGGATTTGAAGCACGTAAATTATTAGAATTTGTACTTCAAGAATGCTGTTAAAGGCAATTGCTGTTGCCCAAACCTCTCTCAGCCACTTGATTTATAGTCTTATTGGAAACAAATCTGAGCTACTAATATTGGTGGCTGCTGGGACTATCTATCTGTTAATCTTGCTTAATTATGAGAAACTGGGACAGCAGTTAATCTCTGGATGCTGTTTTACATGTTGATGCTGTGCTCGACTCCTGAGGCAGCTCTCGCTCAGAGGGACTCAATGTGTCTGACATCGCTGGCATCTCCCAGGGTCCCGTATTAATGTCACTGCTCATAAGGCAGTCGAGGGGCACGACCTGTGAGGAAGTTCTGGTTTTGTCATCCTTGATCTTTTCCTCCCTGCTGTGAGTTGAGGTGTATCTTAAAGCTTGCTACTCCTTGGAGGAAGGGTTAATGAATACCTCTATGAATTGGCTTGTTCTTTGGTCTTCAGTTGGTTTCTGGAATCTGTTCCACCCATTTAAAGTCATGGACGCTTCCATAAAAACAATACGGCAATTTTGGAGCAAAAGGCTACATGGATTCTTCTTAACAGATGTAAATCTGGCTTAAGATAAATTTGTCTTCAGTTGATTAGGAACAGATTAGAGCTAAAGCAGAATAAGGCACTCCTTTTAAACTCCACAGAAATGGGCCTGCATTTCAGTTTAACTAAATGCCTTTAAAAGCAGTTTGATTTCAGTCTGTCACTTCCACAGAAAGATGTGGTTAGTCTCCTGCTCCCTGGACCTTCAGGAGAAGGCCCTTCAGGCCTTCATCTTCTGCCAAGTCTGTAGTTGCCCTCCAAGGGGCCGGCTACTCATGGTAATGCGAGGGCCTAGCAGGAGCAGATGTGTTTCTTTACATGTATCTGTGGTGTTGCAGAGATCCTACAAGTAGAGCTGTCTGGGGACTCGTTTACAAGGGGAAGCATTGCACTGTGGTAAACTGAGGAAAATTACTGCTAAGTGCCTTAAAATTCCACTCGGCCTTTTCTTAAGCCAGTCTTCAGGACGGCCTGCTGGGGTTGGGTTTGGTGTTTGCTTTGAAGGTCCCCTGGACGCATTTCAAAATGCTCAGCTTTCTGATGTGTCTTGACTTCTCCAATTTTGTTTCGTTTTGCTGCTGCTGTATCAACTTACCTGTGTTCTCTTCACTCTCCTGCAGCCTTGACCTGCCTGCTGCCTCTGTGAAATACTGGGGACAAACAAGGAGAGCCCCTTCTCAGAGTTAGCATTTGCTGGAATAAACGTCAAGCAGTCGGACCGTACAAGGAAAGGGGGTACTCTTTAAGCGAGCCTAGAGACCACGTATGCATTGACAGAAGTGTGTCTTTCTGGCATGTTTTTGTTCTGCACTATTAAAAAAAAAAAAAAAAAGAAAGAAAAAAGCTCAAGAACTGTTCTGGCCCACAGCTGTTCGCACAAGACAGCAGAGCCAGCATCAGCAGACTTGCCTATATGAAATAAGGCCAAACTAGGAGCTTTTGGCTCAGGTGCGGTGTCTGTCTGTAGTCCTCCTGGAACTTGACTAGCAGCAGGCCTAAAGAGTGGAAAGGGAGCTCTGGTTGGTAAGGGGTTAAACTACAGTTGCCCACCTTGCTTCCCAAAGATTGTCCTGCCGGAGCGAGAGGGACTTTGGCTGCTCGGTATCATCCTGCTGTGCTCAGCAGTGCCAGGGCCTCTCCTGCAGGCTGGTTCCCCATCTCCTGGCCAGGTTTACTGAGCTCTTGTGCCACCTAGCTGCTTTACTGTTGTCTTCGTCTGCTGCTGCTCTCAGCCGTTACTAGAACTGAATGAAATAAAATCCAACCGGCAAGACCAACGTTGCTATTTTAAAGTAGCTTCGAAGAATATTTGATAGAACTGGTACCGTGGCTCTGTTTGCTGCTAAAAGCTGAGTACGTTAGAGTTGGCTTAGCTGAGTAAACGGCTTAAAATGCAATGTGTCTGCAAAGTATTTTGCTTCGTAATGATTTCTGCAAATTTTCATATGTCTTGGGGCACTGTTTTTGGAATATGTGTTGCAAGACAAAGCAGAATTCTTTTTTTTTTTTTCTTATTACTGTATTAACTGGGGAGGACTAAGGGGAGATGTGCTGTTAATTAAAACACGGCATTGCAGATCTTCCTGATGTTCCTGAAGTCTCTTCTGGCTACAGCTCTTCTAGAGTCAGATCAGCTGGTTTGGGCCTGAAAATATTTTTCATTGCCGTGTATCGGCCAGCAGCAACCTCCTGAAGCACAGGAGGA